AGGATATTCTTCAGGCTGAAAGGAAATGGTGCCAGGTGAAAACACTCATCAGCAGAGAACCAGGTATGGCTCATATATGGGTAAACAGACTGTTTTCTTAATTTCCTTAAACTAACAGCATCGTACCATGGAATTTATAATGTATACAGAAGTAAAATACATGACAACAACAGACAGATGGGTAAATAGAATTACACTACTATAAAATTCTTACATTTTATATGAAGTTACAGTATTAACACTAAGTAGACTGGTAAATCAAAGATGCATACTGAAATTTGGAAAGCAATCACTTAAAAAGCAAAAAGAGGTACAAACAAGAAGAGGGAATAAATGGAATAAAGAACGTTTGATGAGCTCAAAAGGAGAAGGGAAAAGAGAAACAAGAATAAAAAAACAGATACAGAAATTTTAAAAAATAGTGAGATGGTAGACTTCAACCACAGATAATTAAATTTAAATTTACATTATATTTAAGCAAATCTAACATACCCATTAAAATCCAGAAATAAGGGGCGCCTGGGTGGCCCAGTTGGTTAAGAAACTGCCTTCGGCTCAGGTTGTGATCCTGGAGTCCCGGGATCGAGTCCCACATCAGGCTCCCTGCTCGGCGGGGAGTCTGCTTCTCCCTCTGACCCTCCCCCCTCTCACGCTCTATCTCATTCTCTCTCTCAAATAAATAAATAAAAATTAAAAAAAAAATCAGAAATAAAGTAAGTCCCTGTGATATCTACAATGGACATACTTGACATATGCACACACAAACACACACACACACACACAGGTTGAGAGCACAAGTATGTACAAAGGTATGTATCAGCTCAACAGTATGCCTAAGAATGGTTGAGACTGTATTAATAATCAGGCAGGAAAGGCTTTTTAAACAAGAAGAGTTACAAAATATGGAGAATACTTCCTAGTGATGAAGAGGTCAATTTACCATGGAAGACAAAAAATTATAAATGTGTCTATCTAGGAACAGAGCTTTGAAACACATGAAATAGAAACAGTACTAAAGGGAGAAATAGACAAATCCACATCACAGTAGGACGAAAACAATGAGAATGGGTATAAAGGCTTGGAACAATACTATCAACCAACTCCATCTACTATTCATAAATCTCCAACCCCACCAAAACAGGATACACATTCTTTTCAAGTGTCTCAATAACACTTAAGATAAATCACAGGCTTAGCCATAAAATAAGTTCCAATAAATTTCAGAAGACTGAAATCTTACAGAGTATGTTCTCTAACCATAAAGGAATTAAATTAGCAATCAATGACAACAGGGTATCAAAAAAAAAAAAACCAAACAAAAACAAACAAAAAAAATCCAAAGAGTTAAAATTTGAACACATTTCTAAAAACAAATAAAAAAACATGGGTTAAAGAAGAATACACAGGGAAAATGAGAAAATATTTTGAATGAAAATTAAAATGTATCAAAACCTGTGGGCTGTAGCTAAAACCAGGCTCAGAGGGAAATCTACAGCCTCAAACAAAAGGACTGGAGAAGAAGGAAGGTTTAAATTTGATGATCTAACCTCAAAATGAATAGGGTAAGAAAGATAAAAGAAAACGGAAGGGGGGCATCAACAAAAGAGAAAAATCAGCAAAGTAAAATGCTATTTCTATGAAAAGAAGAATATAATTGACAAACCCCTAGCAAAGCGGATGAAGGCAGAGAGAGAAGACACAAACGGGGTCTGCCCTACAAGTCCCACAGACGTTAAAGGGACCCTGTCAACAGTTTTTAGCAAGTCAACTCAACGACGTAGATGAAATAGACTCCTCGAAAGACGCAAACTATCAAACTGACACAAAAAGAGAAAATTCTGAACAGCCCGATCTCTGATAAAGAAATTAAATGGTATGAAGAAAACCCTAGGTCCACGTGATTTCAATGACACATTCAGTCACACATTTAAGAAAGAAATTATACCACTCTTTTACTTTCCTCTTCCAGCATCTGGAGAGGACGGAGCACCTCCCAGCATGCGTGACAATGTCACATACCCCTGCTATCAAAACCTGAGAAGAGAAGAAAAGTACAGATCAATGTCTCTCGGAAGTAGAGACACAAAAATTGACAACAAAATGCTAATAAACTAAATCTGGCAATATAGAAAATAACTGATCATGACTAAAGATGTGGGTAAAATAATACATCATGACTCAGAAATTCAAGCTAATTTAACATAAAAAAATCAATGCAATACTATCTCATTAACAGGAGGTGGGAAGGGGCGTCTGTGGGGCTCAGTCAGTTCAGAGTCCGACTCTTGGTTTCGGCTCAGGTCATGATCTCAGGGTCGTGAGATCAAGCCCTGCGTCAGGCTCTGCACTCAGCACGGAGTCTGCTTGAGACTCTCTCCCCCTCTGCCCCCCCCACCCTCCCTCAAATAAGTAAATAAATCTTTAAAAATAAAACAGGACTTGGGGGAAAAAAAGAAGAAAAACTACATGATCACCCCAACAGATGCAGAGAAAGCATTTGACAGAACTCAACACCTAATGATGAGGATACTTCTCAGCAAATTAGGAGAGAATTCCCTCAGCCTGACAGAGTCTCCAAGAAAATCCTACAACTAACAGAATATTTTATAGGCAAAGGAATGAATGATTCCCCCATAAGAGTGGAAACAAGGCAAGGATGTCTGTTTTCACCACATATATTCAACATTATTTATACTGGATTTCTTAGCCGCTGCAATAAAGTGAGTAAAAAATAAATAAATAAATAAATAAAATGCATTAGAAACTGGAAAGAAAGAAAACGATCTTTGTTAAAAAATGAAAAACTCTTCAACATCTTTAAAGTGCACAACTAAATGGTTATAGTATATTCAGAGGGTTGTCCCCCTCAGAGCACCACAGTCTAAGTTTAGAACATTTGTCATCACTCCAAAAAGAAACCCCACACTCGTTAGCAGTCATTCCCTCCTGAAAAACTTCCCTCCTGGACAATGAAATTTTAAAATACAATTTATAATAACATCAAAGAACACAACATACTTAAGAGTAAATAAAATGAAAAACCTCTATGTTGAAAGTATCAATAAGTTCTGCAAGAAATTAAAGTAGACCTAATCAAGGGGGAGGGCAGCAATGTGTTTGGACCAAGAGATTCAACAGCATCCACTTTCCCCAAATTGATCTGTAGTTTCAAAGCCACTGCAATAAAACATTCCAGGGGACTTTCTGGTAGCAATGAAAATCAACTGATTCACCCCCTGCCCCCAAAGGTGCCCAGGTAAATCAATGGGGAAAGAAAAGTCTTCTCAACAGACCCTTACCTCCCACCACACACAAACATTAATCCAAGATGGATCACAGGCCTAAATAAATATACAGGCCTGGGACACCTGGGTGGCCCACTGGGTTAAGCCACCAACTCTTGGTTTTGGCTCAGGTCATGATCTCCAAGCTCCGTGTCAGGCCCTGAGCTCAACTCAGAGTCTGGATGAGATTCTGTCTCTGCTCCTCCCCTGCGCCTGCGCACACTCTTGCACACTCGCGCTCTCTCTCCAATAAATAAATAAAATCTTAAAATATATATATAAGTATATATATATGGGCCCAAACTCTAATTCTGCTTAAAAAAATACCTGTACCCTTCAGATAGACGAAGATTTTCTGAAGAGAACACACAATATGATAACCATTTTCAAAATTTTATAGACTGGATGTCAACAAAATTATAAAAATCTGCTCATTAAGAGACACCACTTAGAAAGTGAAATAGCAAGCCTCAAGCCAGGTGAAAACATGCCCACTATAGACTTGCACCTCAAATATATTACAAACTCCCACAAATCAGTAACAAAGAGACAAGACAGCGAAGAGGCTTCAACAGACACTTTATTAGAAATACTATGAGGGGGCGCCTGGGTGGCTCAGTCGGTGAAGCATCTGCCTTCGGCTCGGGTCATGATCCTGGGGTCCTGGGGATCGAGCCTTGTGTCGGGCTCCCTGCTCGGCGGGGAGTCTGCTCCTCCCTCTGCCCCCCTCCCACCCCCCGGGGCTCATGTTCTCTCTCTCTCTCTCAAATAAACATCTTAAAAAAAAAAAAAGAAATACTATGTGACCTGATACTACGTGATGTGTAAATATAACGGAATTACAGATATGAGCACATGAAAAGGTGCTCAACTCGCTAGCTACCAAGACATGACAATTAAAACCACAAAGAGAAACCCTGAGACACACTGAAACAGCAAAAATCTCACAGGCTGACTCTCCCACATGCTGAGAAGGACGTGGAACACCCAGAACCTCACACCTCTGACAGGAGAATGAGTCAGCAGCCACTCTGGACAACGACTTCGAGGTTTCTCATGCAGCTAAACCCGCACCTCCCCTATGATACAGCAATTTCACTTCTGAGTTTGCATCTAAGAGAAATGAAAATGCATGTCCACAAAAAAAGACTTGAACAGCTATGTTCACGGCAGCTTTGTTCATGATGGCAAAGCCTAGACAGCCCAAGCATCCAACAAGAATATGAATAAATTATGAAATATTCATATCATGAAATATTCCTCAGCAATAAAAGTAAGAAGCTATTAATACAGCGATACCAGTCAATCTCAAAAACGTCGTGCCGAGTCGAAGGAGCAGGTGGGGGGAGACTATCTCACAGGCTCTAAGACTCCTCTGTGTCCCAGCCCCCCTCCCCCAGCAGGGAACAAATCAGTGGTGACACAGGTCAGAGCACCAGCCTTCGGGCTGGGACTGATGAAAAGGCACGAGGCAACGTTCTGAGCTGATGGGCATGCGCACATATTTGTCCAAACTCACAGAGCTACACACTTAACAAATGTATCAAGATACAGTGAAATACACAAAACATTTTTCAAAAAGTAACTACAACAGCAACCCCCAGGGAAGGACCTGCTGGGAATGGAAGGGTTGATTAGTTTAAAATGGTGGGCTTGTGTGCATAGCTTATCCACATAAATCAATCAAGATCAATAAAGGATGAAAGGACAGAATACCTGTTAACTCTCCTTGGGCATTTTTCTGGCTTGATATCCAATTCATAATGATAGATGTCAATTTTTGGAATGTCCATTTCAAAGAAGTTGGCCTGTAACTTGATTGTTCTCCCGGAGGTCCCGAAGTCGGGTCTAGGCGGAGGCTTGAAGGCATATCCTTGGATGGGTGGCGGCGGCGGCGCGGGGGGTGCGAGCACTGCAACGGCCAAGAGAACGCCCGTTACACGGGAAACCGCGGCTCCCCTAGAGCACACTCGTGCGCCTCCTCCCGTCGTGGCCCACCCTTCCCAGCCCCCGTGGACCCTCGCTGTCACATGCCCCCCCCCACACACATACTCGTTCCCTCCTCCTCCTCCCTGTGCTCCCACGTTCCCACGAACACCTGAATCCCACGCCCCTACCCCTCTCCAAGTCTGTGTCATCACAGAGACACCCCCCAACTGCGAGGCTCAAGGGAGGCATGTGACACGGCACCATGCCCTCCTTTTTCAAATTGTTCCCTCCTTGGTCCTCTCCTTGCTCTGCCCAGATCCTGCAAGTGTTGGATGCTCTACCCAGCCCCCTTCGTCTGTTACACAAGCTCACGGACCCTTGAAACTGCACGCCCAATTAAACTGCTTTCCCCCCCAGGACATGCCTCCATCCATGAGGCCGTGGTCTCCCCACTATCAAGACCCTTGCCACCCAACCCTCACAGCCAACTGCACAACAGTCCTCCTCATTTTACCAGCTTCCTCTCGAATTCATCCTTTCCTATCCATCCCTCTCCACCCCAGCTCGGATCCCCATTTCACCCAGGACAGGGAGTGAGGGAAGCCCTCTAACGGGGTCTTGACTTCCAGGCACCCCCACCCGCACCGACCCACTTTCTACACTCCAGGCCAGAGAGTCTGATCTCACCCTGCCCACGTACTTCCGTGGCTGCCCACCACCTGGCTCCAACAATCAGCCTTCCCGTGTGCACCACCTGGCCTCAGCCTTGTCTCCTGCCACTCCAAGACCTTCTCAATCCCGAGGACCAGCCTCACTTGTCAGAGCCCCTTACTTCTGTCTCTAGCTTGCTTTATTCACATTTCCAGGACAAATTTGCTACACTGCGCTGTACTCCCATTTGGCTGTCTCCCCAGCTGGACCTGAGCAACTTGAGGAAGATCTGCCTGCCCTAGGGTCTAAGAGCACCTGATGCACAAGAAGAGCCCAGAAACATCTGGTCAATCTCTTTCCATTTATAACTGTGGAAGCTGAGGCTCAGACACGTAAGGAAAGGCTGCCAAAGTCGCTCAGAAAGAGTCCTTTACTCTTTCAGGAAGAAGTCAGGAAGGAAGACGTTTGCAACCTCCAGAGTCAAGACACCCGAGCCTTCCCGACACCAGCGCTCATATACACACCCTGCCACACCCCACCCTGAGCACCACCACTTCCTACACCCCAGCCCCCATTCCAGGGGCTTCAGACACCTGTGCTCAGGTCAACACGAGCACTCAACTATCCGTGCAATCTCTCCTGCCCCTGGAAACCACAACTCACCTCCTCCTCTGCAACAGACCAACACCCCATTTCCACAAAGGAGGTGCTTCAACATCAAGCCAATTCTTGACTTAAAAATGCACTGTAGTGACTCATTGGTTATATATGTATATGTACATTGCTGCTCTTTCTTTGCATACGAGAGACTGGGAAGATGGGACAGTGTGAATTATCAGAAGAGGAGACAAGATCAAAGGGCTACGATTCACATGTGATTAAAGGGGCCAAAAACACCAAGGTGGTGGCCGGCCCTCCTGCATTCCTAGTTAAGTCATTAATTTAATCAAGGAACGTATTTTTCCCGCCACAGACAGTAGAAAGAAACTTTACCCCAACTCAGATTTTCACTAATTCTAATAAAGTTCAAACTGTGGCTTAGGAAAAAAAAAACGATTAAATATTTTTCCAGTAACAGAATCCTCTTAGTTTTTGCTCACATTTTTTTTTTTAAATCCTCCTCATTTAAAAAAAAAAAAAAATCCCATGTACTTCAATCCCTACTGACATTTACTGGAAACAAAAGTATGCTACTAAAAATAATTTAAGCTGTTTTTACTGCATTTCTGACCTAGAAAAACTCAGAGTCCTTCAGTTACTTTTTGTTTTGTTTTCTTTGTACGAGAAAGCGAACATGCTTTAAAGGTTAGGAATCTCACTGAGCTGTCCCATCTGGAACCTTCAGGTCTGTCTCACTAACCTATTATGACCAGAGATGCCGTATTTACAGACTCGCACACAACACACCACCCCTACAACGAGCACACTCGTGTGCCCCTTATGTGCTGGGTCATGTCCAGGACCAAGCATACAAAAATAAATAGTGCTCTCAGGCAGCTCATATGTCTCCTCCCAGGACACCGTCTGAGTGCACGTCATCTAATGGATTAGGCATGTTTACTCCTCGTAAGCGCAGGTCACACGCGATCCTTCGCACTGCAGATCCTGACCATGCCCAGGAGTGGACTCCACAGCCCACTAGTACGTGGTCCACGCTCTCAGGCAGAAGCCTAACCAGCAAGAGGAATCTTGCCAATACAGAAGCACAGATGAACCCCAGAAGTTACGATTGTGCCCCAGGAAATGTCCAGCCACAGAGACACAGTCCATTTCAGGAACCGGAGCACTATCCACACTGAATAAGGGCTTTCCAGTTTACAAAGTGCTTTTCACAGTTGACCGTGCATCGCAGCTATGGAGCCAAGGTGCCGCCTCTGAAAAGTGAAGCCGTCCAAGGCTCAGACAGGAGCAGTGAGCTGCGGTGCCCACTTCTGAACCAAGGCTTCCTCCCGCCCATCAGCAGCCATCCATCCCCAGCTAGATTCAGATGAGTTTACCTTCCCAAAATCTAACCGCTGGCACAGACACACCTGCGGCCCATTTCTCTGGTTGAGCCTATTTCTCCTGTCTCCATGATACCTATCACTTCTAGAATATTGGCCATGGGGACCAAGGGAAACTGTCCACAGCTTGTGTTACTAACCTGTATTAATAAAAGCAATGGGAAAACACAATGGTAAATATAATCATGAAATATGTGACTTCACAAGATATTTCTTCCTTGCTTCTGGCTTTTAACAGTGAAAATACTGACAGCTTGTGGGAAGGTGTGTGGAATATACAATCACAAGTTAAAGCTCTAATAGTTTTCCAAGCAGAGCCGGGAGGGTTCCCAGCAGTTTTATGCCCTCGGGAAGGAAACTCTCCTACCAAAGAGGATAAAGGCTCCCGCCCAGCCTCAGTCCTCGGAGAGATCCTGGATTCATTTTTATACTTCACAGGGAGTCAATCCCAAGTGTAAACTCCCAAGACAAGCAGGACTCACGAACCAAGCACCTGAGAGGATCTAGCTCAGGCCAAGGTGCACAGAAGAGCACGTGCGCATGAGAAAGGGATAGAATGGTGTGCGGGCGACGGCCACTTTCCTGGGACTGTTAGCTCCTGGCCCCAACAGGTGGATAACGTTCTGAGATGAAAACCAAATCCTGAACAGCACACACACCTTCATCACGGTTAACACAGATGACTTGGAAAATTAATTCCAGTATCGCCCAGAGGGCAAATCTCCGTGAGGCCCATTTCCCCTGACCCGTGCTGAAGGAGGAACGGAGAGTCTGATGCAGATGTGCCGGGGAGGAACAGGGGGAGGTAGGGAGGGCTCCGCACCCCGAGCCACCGCCCACCGGGCAGGGTGCTTGGCAAGCCTGTGCTGCGGAGATGGGGGGCGGTTCTCAACTCAGCCTCCTCCACCATGGGTGCTGTCAACATCTGCTGGATAAGTGACAGCCCAAGAGGAGGAGGATCTGGGAAGCCTTCACCAGAGAGACGCCCCTGAGCTGCTCTCAGCGGGGACCTCGCCCCAAAGCCCTACCCCGTGGGAAGACCCCAGCTCCTCTCCAGCCGTGGCCATGCCAGCCAGCCCGAGGCAGGCCAAGCAATCCTCCCCACCTTCCAGGTGCTCCCACCTTCTCCAAGCCTTCCCCGAGACATGCATTTTCCATCTGCTTGTGAAAACCATGCCCGACGCCCAGGCCTGCACCTGCCGCCGCCCCCGCCCCAAGCTGCGTGCAGCCACCTCTCCCCGCCCGGCCACAGAGCGCACAGTTCTGTTGGGAAGGCGTTTCCCGGGGTGCCTGTGCTGGTCCTACTGTTGCCCTGGGTGGGGGAAACCCTTGGGAATGGGAAGGCAACCCCTCCTTTTTCACCCAGGAACACTGGATGGTCACAGCTGGGGGAGGGAGATGGCAGGTCCAAGGCCCGCACAGCCCCTGAGCCCCCCTCAGCGCGCGGGTGAGTCCGCACCCCCGACCGGGCGGGTTCCGAGGGCAGGGGAGCCCGAGCCTCTAACCCAGTGTCAGGTGACGTAGGCGATGAGTGTTTGCGGAACCGCGGCTGCTGACTCGGCACACGTGCTTAAAAATTCCATTTTTAGAGCCACATCTCAATCAGTGAAAGGGAAACGTAGTGAATGAGTCATCGACTTCCCGTGTATGAGTAACTGGGTCACAGCAACCAGGAAGTTTCGGTGTTTTTCTTACAGACGCCATGGAAGGCAAGCCTGTCACTGCTTCTAAGTGAGGCTTCTGCGGGACGCCGCTGGTCCGCCTCAAGAAGTCCACCCCTCGGGGTGTGGACTGTCACTAACTTTTCAGAGGAGGGTCCCAGACCATTCTGTGTGACCCCTGCCCCGTGCATGATCTCCGGGCAGCCCCCTTGCCAGGGTGGGACCCTCGTCCCAGCCCTCCCCCTAAGTAAGGGATGGGCACACAGGGCAGGAACCTGGGCTGAGCAGAAAAGAAGAGTGAAGGCTTGCGGAGGTTCTCCCACGGGTGGGCACCCCGGGTGGGGGGGGAGGTGCTACACTGGTTCCCTGCCCATCGCCACAGTCCTGCGTGATGACAAAGTGCCAACAGCGACCCTGCTGAGAGCCGTCTCTCAGGGCTTTTGCTTACCTCCAACTTACTCCCTCCAGCGTGGCAGGGGACTACAGACTCTAACCCCAGCTGTAAAGACAGAAAAGCCGGCACAGAGACCCTGGGGCCCCCAGGTCTCAGGGGGGTCCCCAGGGAGCAATTTGAACAACGCTGGAAGTTCCCTGCCTTCGGCCACCGAAATGCTCCCAGCAGGTAGGCCTAGGGCCAAGAAGCGCCGAGGAGGGCAGCAGGCTCCGGG